TTTCAATTTGAGGAACCACCAAACAAAGCTGATTCTCCACCACCAGCATACTCCAGAGTGGAAAAAAAAAACAAAAAAACAGTTGGCCTAAGATGGCCGGCATGCCCTACCACAATCTATCTACCACTATAGAATTGTGCTATTTTTTTTTGTAAAAATGGGTTGAGTTATAACATTTTTGTTGTGCTTAGCTTAAATGTCTGGGACGGCCATATTAAAGAGGTTTTCTTCTAAAGTTAATCAGTTGTAGATAGATGTACAATCAATGATTAGTTTCAGGAAGTTTCACTAAGATGCATTTGCTGGTTCTTGACTTATTTTGTGAACAGACAGACAAGTACACACATCAACGCAGACAATTTCATTAGCCCTTCTCATAAAGGTGGCAGGTAATAAAAAAGGCAACCTTGACGATTTGCAGGCTTGAGCCAGAAAATGGGAAGTTTGCCGCACAGTTCCAGAATTTTGTTGCTTAAAAATGTGGTGTTCTTCAGTGGCTTCTCTGCTGCAATCCATGTGAGGAACTCCTCATCAACCCTCACTGGCATTAGTTCATCTGTCTGACAAGAAAACAAAAGAAAACCCATTTAATTTACTCAGATTAATGCTGCGCTTTCTTTCTTCATTTCAAATTCTCAGCGTTGTGTGTCAAACGGCGCACGTATACCAGGTCAAACATCAGCGTCTCTTTGTTGTGAGCTCCCATGAGTGGAAGGTTTGCTTTGATATGGGATTTTATAAAGCACTTGTCTCCTCCGAAGAAGCGGATCCCAGTTATTCCCTGCACCAAATCACAGAGATGCCATGTTTACACTCACAGCTCTGCTACTTTGTTGAGCACACACAAGGTCTCCGCTGAGCCCGTGGAAGCGAGAACAAGGACAAACTTACTCACAATTTGAAAGTCATGAATCTCCACTGCTTCCCCAGCTCCACTCTCGGTTTTAACTCTCCCCAGATTGTTGTCAGAATCAATTTGCACAGAGCCCTCCCTCACCTCGCCGTTGATGCTCAGGCTGTAACGAACATTATAAACCTGGCAGCATTCAAAGTGAGATGTTTTAGTGACTGATTAGTCAAGTTGTGTAAATCATAAAGTGGCAAACACAAAACCAGAGATGGAAACGAGCTTCATGTTGCTTGTGTTATTTCCTCCCCCTCGCAGACATTTTCCGTGCGGGAAATTCTCTGTAGTTTTAACACGCTGAAAATTTGAGCAAAGCACCACGGGAGAGGCTGCTGTAGAGCTGGAGGAGGAGGTTTGCCCCACATGTGTGCTCATTAGAGCACAAATAAACACCACACTGTTGCTTAAAATATGAAGAATGACTTCAGGATCAATTTATGAGGCTTGCGTGAAGATTTGATTTTTCAGCTTGAAATGTTTTGATTGCAGCTGAGTTTTTAATATGAACGCATCATGGCTTCTTCAAAAATTGTAAGCAACCGTGCCTATTAACATTTTCAGTATTAGCATCTGCCTGATGTTTGCCATTTGAATGCAAAGCATTTGAATCAACACTTACACTTCTGTCACTGTCTTTCCAGAGGTAGAAAGAGGCACACAACATGAAAACAGCACCAACAATGAGGACCACAACTCCAAATCTCAGCGCATAATGAACTGCAGCAGAGGTTGGTTTGCTGAACGATCTTTGTCCCTTAAACATATTCAGAAAATAAAAAAGATTTGATCAAAAACAGGAGTAACCCTGCTGGGAAACTTGAGATTTCACAGTGTTGACAGCTTTACCAACACGCCACAAATGTCAGTTATGATTCTGATCAAAATCTGTCTTACCGCAGGTCTGCTCTGTTCAACAAACCAAGATCCATGAGCTAAGTTTCGCACTTTTCCCATCATCTCTCTCTTGATGTCCACAGTTTTCTCTGTAGCTGCTTCTCTTTGGGGAGTTAGCCTAAATGGATATTTGACAAGTGCATATGAATGACGTGAAGTTGATATAAAATTGCTAAATTCTTCATCTGAATGTTACAAGTGGCTCCAAGCTGCCCAAAGCAAGGTGGCCACCCTGTGGTGTCAAAGCAAAGCAAGGACTTGAGGCAGCTAGAACTTATAAAAGATTAGCTGGCGTTGTATGTTGGAGATTCTGATACACTGGTGTCACCCATGTCAAAGTTTCAGATCAAGATCACATTGAGAAATGACAGTTAAAGTTATCTTGGTCAAACCTTGAAAATATACACAATGTCATGTTGAATGGTGATATCTCCATGATCTGTTAACAAATGGAGTGTTGTGAATAACTGTCAGCTACTACCACACTAAATATAATTTCAATATCTGTAAAATTCTGAGGTATAGACATTTTTGTGTAGGCTAAGGTAAATTAGCTGCTGTAGGCTGGCCATCTTCAGTTGGGTTGACTCCAAAAGTTAATTAGTTGAGCTGGTCTCTCAATACAGCCATAGTGAAAAAGCCCTGCAAAGGCTTTACTTCATTAGGTGGCTCAGGAAAGTGGGTCTGAACCAGCACCTTCTCATTCTGGCCTACGGAGGACTGATAGAGTATCCTAACCACAAGCATTCTCATCTGGTATGGGGATACCACACAAGCAGAAAGGAAGACCCTTCAAAGAGCCATAAAGACTATGGAGAGGATCACAGGGACAAAACGTCCATGGGCTCGATGTATGTACAGCGCTGTTGAAAAAGAACAACAGGTATCATCAAGGACCCTCTTCATCCAGCTTACTCTCTTATCAGACAAAAATCTGTTCATGAGTCCCAGAGGCAGTAGCTTGAGCAGGGAGGCTCAGACATCTCTTTTCACAGACACCTTTTCCAGTTCTTTCGAGAGGATTCCTAAGTGGCCAACTGAGAGACATTAGCTATGTTTACATGTGCAAAATTCTTTCATCGGATTGAAATGTATCTGGATTAAATAATTTAAATCTATCATTTACATGGGCACAATCTGATCATGGTGACTGTTTACATGCAGTTGGCTTTTATTGAGAATAGAAGTACTGACATACGCAGAGTGGTAAACTCTCCTTAAAAAAAACACAGAAAAAGAAGTTCTACTTCCGTGATGAACGTAAACAAACCTGAGCACCCAAAATGGACCCACGACAGGTTTTAATGATGGTGGAGTTGTTACTGCACTCCCTGATTGAGCTAAAGGTAATACAGATAATTTTTTATCTCTTTCAAAGTTTCTAGTAGAAATGTTGTGTCACTCACTGACCAGTTTTACTTCTTTGACATATTAGCATCTATCCTAGCGGAAATACGTGAGGTAGACAAAGTCGCACATGCGTAGTCAGGTCAGCTTTCCACAATCGGAATAAAATGATCAGATTAAGTATTTACATGCACACTGTTCGAATTATGAATCGGCATAAACCACCCCTCTCATTTGGATTACAAATTCATTCAGATTGAGTTGAATAAACTCAGAATAATCCGAATGGGGCATTTACATGACACATTTTTATTCCAAATGGCCATTTAATCCAATTTCTTATGTCCATGTAAACATAGGTAGCGTCCCCTGTGTCCTGGATCTTGGGGTCTAATTGGACATGCCCAAAAAACATCCTTAGGCAGAGATCCAGGGGGCACCTTTACCAGTTGCCTGAACCACTTCAACTTGTTCCTCTCTATGTGGACCGGGTACTCCGGTTTCCTCCCACAGACCAAAAACATGCATGTTAGGCTGACTGGTAACTCTAAATTGTCCCTAGGTGAGAGAGTGAATGGTTGTTTGTCTTGTTTGTTTCTATGTGGCCCTGTGACGGACTTGCGACCTGTCCAGGGTGTACCCCGCCCCTCGCACAGTGATTGCTGGACATGGGCACCGGCAACCCCCATGACCCAAAATGGAAAAAGCGGGTAAAGATAATGGATGGATGGATGATTCGAGGAACCCAGAGTGGTATGAGACCCGGAATGAGACAGACACAGGCAAGTACAAAAGTGACAGTGTTTATTATTTACAGTGAAATATGAACAGTAGCTTCTCTGCAGCTCCTGGAGGAGGAGGGAGACGGTCAGAGGAGGTTGACAGGTGATCTGGCAATATTAATGTGATGATGTTCTTTCTCTTACAGATTTGAAGATCTCTTTTGGGTCCACTCCAAATCTTTAGAAGAGCTTCAGAGGGGGATGAGGCCAAGGATCGAACTGGGTGAGGAAGACTGGCAACTGGTGGTTAGCAAGGCATGAGGAGAACCAGGATGAGGCACTGGGAGGAGCAGGACGAGGCACGAGGAGAACCAGGACAGGACCAGGGGAATCAAGACCGAGGAGGCAGAAACACTGGAGACAAGAAGAGACTGGTAAGTAGATTTAGTAACAATTAACAGGCCGGAGACAACACTACCATTAGATGGTCAATGCTCCAGCGAAGAGTAACACTGGACTGCAGCCTTATGTAGTGGATGATCCTCATCAGGTTGATGGCCGACAGCTGGTGGTAATTAGCGGCCATCTTGGACGAGGGGCTGCAGGCAGTGATACTCTTACAAGTAAGTAAAATATTTAACTAAAAGCTTGTCTGAATAAAAATGTATTAAGCTGCTTTTTTAAAGAATCAACAGAGACAGCTGCACAAAGAGACAGGGGCAAGACATTCCACAGCGGGGGGGGGGGGGGGGGTGCAATGTCCTGAAAAGATTGGTCAGCCCGAGTTTTAAACCAGGTCTTAGGGACATTTAGGAGGTACAGTGGTGAAGACCAAAGGGTGCGGGCTGCAGAGTAAGGGATCAACATTTCAGTGATGCATTGGTGGTGCCTGTCCATGCAAAGCTCTAAAAGTCACAAATAAAATTTTAAAATTAAAGTAGTCCCTCACTACATCGCAGTTCCACTTTTGCAGACTTGCTCTTTTGCTGTTTTTCAAAGTAAGATTGAACACGAACAAATTGTACACGACACATGATTGTCAACTTTAATATTACTCACATGATTGGGACAGTAAGGGATACTGTACAATAAAAAGTTAACAAAAAAATACAGTACTTTGGACAGGAGCTGCCATTTTGTAGTTTTCTCTCAATAAGCCTATACTGTATCCCGCTCATAATGACGACATTTCCCAGAAGCCAACAGTACCCCACCCAGAAGCCCCATTACCTTCTGCTGAAATACTAGAAGGAAAGTTTTGATCTCATCGGAAAAAAAAATAGTGATTATTCATACAACTTCCGTGCCCAGCAGATGCAGAGACCCACACAGAATCCACCAAGAACCAGACCAGAACAAGAGCAGAACCGGACCCCCAGACTCATCAGTGAACCCGAGAGCTGCTAGCCGGCCCTTGAGGACTTCCAAGCGAGGACGTGCACTGTAGGTTTGGCTTCACTCTGGAGCCCACCGGGACTTTATTTCATCCAGATTTAACTTAACTTGGTCCCGTGCTGGCCATCCAAAAGTCCAGCTCCCTCCAAAATGTGTTTCAGTCCTCAAGGGCTGCACAGAACTTGACTCCCAGAGTTTAATTGTGTGACTCATCAACTTAATTCACCCGTAGTTGCTACAACTCTGTACATCACCCTTGTTCTTGAAAATTGCCCCCATTTCACTGCTCCATTCCTCAGGCATTTTATCACCTCAAATATGCCATTGAAAATTTGAGTCAAAAACCTCACTGCCGTCACTCCAAACCTCCACTGGTATGTCATCAAGTCCTACAGTCTTCCCCTTCCTCAGTCTTTTCAGATTTTTCTGGACTTGATCCTGAATAATCTTTCCCACTTCCTGGTCCATAATTTCTATGACCTCTACTCTTCTTTATCTTACATTCTCTTCAATCATTAGCTTCTCAAAGTACTCCTTCCATCTTCCCATCACACTCTCCTCACTTGTTAGAACATTATCATTCCTATCTTTAACAAGCCAAACCTGCTGCACATCCTTTCCAGCCAGATCCCTTTGTCTGACCAATCGGTACAAGTCCTTCTCGCCCTCATTAGCCTCCCATACAATGCATTATATGCCTTCTGCTTTGCCTTTGCCACCTCCCTCTTTGCTCTACATTGCATCTCCTTATATTCCTGTCTCCTCTCTTCAGTCCTCTCACTGTCACTTTTCTCCTTGGCTAATCTATTTCTTTGAATAACTGCCTGCACTTCACTATTCCACCACCAGGTTTCCTTATCATGCATTCTTTGTCCAGATGACACACCAAGTACCTTCCTACCTGTCTCTCTAATTACTGTTGCTGTAGTAGCCCAGTCATTTGGAAGCTCTTTCTTAACACCCAGACCCTTCAACAGCTCCTCTCTCAATTTCTCACAACATTCTTCTTTTCTCAGCTTCCACCATTTCCTCTTCTCTGATTTTACTATTTTTCTCTTCTTTACAACAACAGTCATTCTACACACAACCATCCAATGCTGTCTGGCCACACTCTCCCCTGCCACAACCTTACAGTCCCCAATCTCCCTCAGGTTTTCTCTTCTACACAGAATGTAGTCAACCTGCATATGCCTTCCTCCACTCTTAGGCCACTCTATATTCCTCCCTCTTTTTGAAACAAGTGTTGACTATAGCCATTTCCATTCTCTTGGAAAAATTCACCACCATCTGTCCTTCCTGGTTTCTTTCCTTGACACCAAACTTACCCATCACTTCCCCCTCCCTTCTATTTCCTTCACTAGCATGTCCACTCAGGTCTGCTCTAGTCACCACTCTTTCCTCCCTGGGAACACTCTCTATCACTTCATCCAGATCCTTCCAAAAAGTTATCTTGCTTGTCCACATCACATCCAACCTGTGGAGCATAACCACTAGCAATGTTTAGCATCAGACCTTCTATGTTTACCTTCAGAGACATAACCCAGTCTGACACTCTTTTCACATCCACCACATTCTTTATGAACTCCTTTTTCAGGATCATCCCCACTCCATTTATCTTTCAATTCACACCACGGTAAAACAGTTTAAACCCTGCTCCAATGCTGCGAGCCTTGCTACTCTACCACTTGGTCTCTTGGACAAATTAAAAAAATCTACCTTCCTTCTCTGCATCATATCAGCCAGCTACCTTTGTCTGTCATTGTCCACACATCCTATTGTTTCATATTTTCCTTACAGAGCACTTCACTCTCAGACTGCAGGTTTACTTGTGGTTCATAGAGTTTCCAAAAGCAGAAAGTGAGGCAGAATTTTCATTTTTCAGGCTCCTCTCTTGTGGAATCAACTTCCAGTTTATGTCCATAATGCTGACATAGTCTACTTTTAAGATTAGGCCTACATTTTTACTTTTGGACAAATCCTATAGCTAGTGTTAGCTTGGGTTTCCTGAGCTATCTTTTAATTATGTTGCTATATGCTTAGACTGCTGGAAGACAAACTGACAAAATGTCTTCACTCTGCTGTGATCTTTACTTAATCTACTCTGCCCGTTTAGTATTTGTAATTTGTTTCTATCCTTAACAGGTGTTTTTATCTTTCTTCCAATACGGGGTACACCTGCACCTGCAATTGGACCTGCCATACTGTGTTTATTTGTTTCTCCTCTCTGTCCTCTCAAACCCAGAAACTCAAAGCAGATGGCTGCTTGTCCTGAGCCTGGTTCTGCTGGAGACTTATTCCTGTTAAAAGGGAGTTTTTCTTTTCCACTGTTGCTAATGTAATTGCTCAGCATTTGGCACATTGTTTTGTGCTATTAGTGCTTAGCATATTCTTAGTTTAGCATATGTCTTAGTTCATGTCTTGGCTCTTACTACTGTTTTTCTTTACAATTTGTAATTTTGTTGAATGAAACTGGGACCCTGTGTACATAGTTTTGTTCCACCTCATGTACCACATGGGATGTGAATGACAAAAGGACCTTGAATCCTTGAATCCTTGAATCAGCATGGGAGACTATGATGGAGTGAGGATTCAACGAGTCTGCTGGCTTCCTTCCTTAGATAGTGAACTTCTTTTATTGGCTTTTGTATGTGTGTGAATGTTTTTGTAAAGTGCCCTGAGACAACCTTTATTGTGATTTGGTGCTATATAAATAAACAAAATTGAAATTGAATTTAAATTAAATGGATGATTAAAAAAAAGAAATCAGTCCAGTTTTTCATGAGATATTTGGCCAACAGACACGTTTAACCTTTAGCTACCTAACCAAGGCAAACATAACAGTCATTGCTATTGCATTATTAAAATAACCACAGTATTACACATTTGCAGAAAAGTATGTGAACCCATTGCCTTTTGTGATTTGTTGTGCAACAACAACCCCAAGAAAATATTTACTTTCAAAGTGGTCCAGCCAATCAGCTTGAAGGGGTTCTATCTCAACAGAAACGCTTCAACTTTGTGGTAATGGCAGGTTGTTTTTGATTAAGGAGAACACTCTGACATGGCTGTTGCAGCACACTTTGCACAAAGGCAGCATATTCCTTCTGAAGAGCAGTTGTTTTGTTTTTGCAGCGCTGCTGTGCACAACGTTCAGTTATCGGTTGGTGGTGAAATCAGCCACGAGCATGACATCACCCAAAATTAAATTCACCTTCAAATAAACCGTTATTCCTTCTGGTGTAATACTGGGTCATTTTCCTCAGCAAACATGTGAGTACGTATAATATTCTTGCATCATTTGTTTAGTTGGGCTGTATTTATTTACTTTGAAGATATTTGTTGAAATACGACTCAGTTTTAGGTCATATTAATGCAGAAATGCATGAAAAAAAATAAATAAAATCCAAACTGTCAAGTGCCACAGTAACATACATTTTTTATATTGTTGCTGCATATTTCCTTAAGTTGTTTGCCAGTGTGTCAGCAGGAATGGAAGCTTGCACTATAACTGTAGTCAAACTTGTAAGTTTCATTATTCTCAGCTCCCGTTTATTGGAACTACATGCTAGAAGACTGCACCGACTTGAAATACAGCATGCACACGGAGGAAAAGCATCTTTTTAATTAAGAATTTTCTGATTTTCGAGTCGTGTGGTCAAGGATTCTTGCTCTTTATTATAACTTAAAAAGAAGAAAAATATCAAGAAAAGAGTTTCAGATGTGCTGTTCTGCTGTTGCTTAGAAACAAGATGAAATTACATTTTTTTGGATAATTGGTAAGCTGGGAGGCAATCACGGAAGGTGAGGGGATGCTTTGACCTTTGAAAAATATGCAATTGTAAGAGAACTTGAACAGCAGTGTCATATTTGCATGCAAATTGAGGCAGCACAGTAACCACAGTGTGTACAATGAGAAGACAATGAGATTGGTTTGGGCTTGCTATCAGTTTAACTGTGCAGGCTTGAAAACTTCATTTTATTTACTGCTGCTTATAAGCCTCTGAGGCAAATAAAATGCATGCAGTTGGGTAATTGAGGTTATTCTAAATGCTTTATGGATATTCCCCGAGGACTAAATGTATTGCAAGAGTTTGCATGAGTCTTTGTTAAAGAGCAAACCTGTGTTGATTCAAACTTATTTTATTTGTGCAACATTGTGATAAAATCTACCACAAACATCTTTCATACTGATTGTTTCCACAGCCAAAACCCCCCCCCAAAAAACCAATAATAATAAAATTAAAAGGAGGTGTTTTATTTGTCCTTCGGTCATGTTCTTAAATAATAACACATGCTTTTAAAAATCCATAATAAAATTCGTTTTTTACATTGAACTCTTATGAAAAATATATTATCCATGTAGAAAATCTTGCATATTACACATAAAACAGCAAACAGTCTTAAATTAGGCAAACAAATGCACGCAACACTACTAAAACCACTGCAACAACCCAGCACAGTTTGGATTAAAGAACTGTACATTTCAAGGACTGAATGTCTTTTAATTACAGTTTGAGTTTGTTTTTTTTGTTGTTGTTTGTTTTTCATTTCTAAGAGTTTGTGTACTCTGGGATGGACATTTCATCTGTTTCCTGTATCCTGGCTGGCGTTGGTGGACCAACAAGGATGTAATCAAACTCCTGGTGTTGAACTTTTTCATACACGCTCTGCAGACCGCCAGTTTTAGGTAGGTGAGCCGGGTAGTAGTTTTCTCTCCTGGCGTCACGAGGAAGGGTTGCGGTTTTGGAGAACGTTGATAGGTGAGGTCCACAGGCCAGGCTCGTGTTGGGTCTTGCAGCTGAGGGGCTCCAGCATCGGTCAGAGTGTCCCAGCACCTTGCACTCACTCGTACATGCCCAGAGACCTGAGGGACAACAGCAGGGGTTCAAGGGTGTGATGTCAACTGGTTGTTTGACGATATAAATATAATAATATATAATAAATAATATAATAATATAGACTACTGAACTCAGATCACTAATGAAGTGACAACAATAGCAAACACACAGACATCTACAGTCATTCCTAAACACCAAAGTCTATCAAATTCATGTAAATGATGTAACCCTATAATGCTGTGGAGAAATTAAACATGATTTACGTCAATGTTGCATGGCACACTGTACAATTTTGAATGACATTAACGTTTTACATTATTATTATAAAAAAATCTCAAGCGTAACAAGTCAAAAAAGGTGTGTTGTTCAACTGATAATCATAATAAACCTTGTTCTTGGAATGAAGCAATCTCATTGGTTATTGTTAAAGTTTTGTGTTGCTTACTGTTCATTGGTGGTGACTCTTTCTTGTGGACATCTCCACTGATGTCAGAGTCGCTGTCGTTAAAGTCGCTGTCCCCCTTTCCACTATCCTTGCCACTGATTTGAGGATCTCTTGCTGAGATAGTTGTGAATGAATTGCCCTTCCATATTGTTATAGGCCTCACAGTCTCCTTCCCATATCCTGGCAGAGTGGAATAACCCTGTAATATCACAAACCACACATCTTTAGTAAAAACTCATGAAAAGATAAAATCAGTGTTCACAAAATGTTAAATATATAAGAAAATACCTTTAATTTCCCCTCCATGGTCCTGCTGTTTGATTCAAACATGCCTGCTGTCTGCCTACTCTCCTCACAGCTAGTCTCTGTTGTGGTGCCGGCCACTGGCGGACCCTCAGGAAATGGGTGGACATCAAACGTTTTGCCTTTGTGGTTGGCAATCATTGAATCAATCTGACCACTTTCCACTTTCTCCACATCCGGCATGTCCACTTTGTTATCAAACCCCGCTTCTCTGGTCTCCTTTTTCCGGCGGCTACAAATGGTAGTGATGAGGATGATGGCCAGCAGGAGGATGGAGCAGCTCCCTGCCAAGACGATAATTATGGCGATGGACATATCCCACTCGAAGACCTCCTCATTGTCATTTTGAGCCAGTGAGGGCAAGCTCGGCAGAGTCCCTTCGATGAAGCTGAAAATGATCATGGCTGAGGAGGTCAGAGAGGGGGATCCATTGTCGCTGACTGCCACTGTCACTTTGACATTGTCTGAGATGTCGTATGTCAGCTGTCGACTCACGAGCACCTTCCCCGTGTCCTTGTTGATGGAGAAGCCCAGGTGTCCACCCTCTGTGATTTTAAAGGACAGTTGTGCATTCACGCCCTCATCAGCATCCGTGGCCCGTATCTGGGTGACCACGTACCCTGCAGGAGCATCTTTGGGCAGGAAAATCTCTGCAGAGCCCTTGTAGAGCGGGGGCTTGATGATATAAGGCTGGTTGTCATTCTGATCAACTATTTTTAACCTGATGATGGCTGTGCTCTGAAGCTGTGGTGATCCGCCATCACTGGCCTGGATGTGCACATCCAGCTGTTTCATCACTTCGTAATTAAAGCTTCTCAGCGCATATATGGAGCCAGACACCGAGTTAAGGGACACAAATGTGTTCACTGGGGACCCCATGATGACACTGTCCAGAAGTCTGTAGGTGATTTTCCCATTGTTGCCCAGATCTGCATCACTGGCTTCCACTGTGGTGATATAAGCGCCTGGGGCGTTGTTCTCCACCACTGAAACTTCATACACGCTTTTAGCAAAGTGGGGGGCGTTGTCGTTCTCGTCGCTGAGTCTAATAGTGAACTGGGAGATTTTTCTCAGTGGGGGGGACCCAAAATCCTCAGCCATGACAGTCAGATTGTATTCACTGATGCGCTCCCGGTCAAGAGCGGCTGCTGTCACGATCATGTAGCTGTCCTCGTGAGCCTGGCGGAGTTTGAAGTGGTCGTGGCCGTACAGAGTGCAGTGGATCTGGCTGTTGATGCCCGAGTCCCTGTCCAGGGTGCTGATCAGCGCCACCAGGCTGTCCTTCTCCGCCGCCTCGCTGATGTGCGCAACACCTGTTCCGACCGAGGTCATCGGGGTGATGCTGATTTCCGGGGCATTGTCGTTAACGTCCGTGACGTGAATAATGATTTTGCACGCGGAGGGGGTCGGGTTCGCTCCCAGATCTGTCGCCTGCACGTCCAGCTCGTAGGTGCTTTTGTCCTCGAAGTCCACGGGGCTCCTGAGAGTCAGGCGGCCCGATTTGTGATCCACTTGGAAAAGTTCTCGGATCTCGTGGGAGACCTGTTTCCCGAACCCGTAGACCACTTCTCCGTTCAGACCCTCGTCAGCATCGACTGCGTTTAAGTCCAGGATGATGGCGCCAACAGGCGCGTCCTCTGGCAAACTCACGGAGAAACTCTTCTTGTCAAACACAGGACTGTTGTCGTTGAAGTCAGTCACTTTGATCGTTATTTTTGTTGAGCCCGATCTGTGCGGGTTCCCCCCGTCTGTGGCGACCAGGTCCACATTGTAAGAGGACTGAGTCTCCCGGTCTAACTCCTTCATCAGGACCAGCTCCGCATATTTAACCCCATCCGCTCTCAGGAGCACATCGATAGTAAAATGACTGTTGACAGAAATCTGATAACTCTGGATGTAATTCGACCCCACGTCTGCGTCCACCGCCGGGTCCAGCGGGATCCTGGACCCCAGCGCTGCGTTCTCGGAGATCTCCACCACAGACTCCCTGCTCGGAAACTCTGGAGAGTTGTCATTGATGTCCTTCACTTCCACCTCGACGTGAATGAGCTTGTAGCGATCTTTGGAGAAATTAACCACGTCAAAAGTGATCAGGCACTGGGGAGTGTGCCTGCAGATCCGCTCCCGGTCTATCCTCTCCCCGACAGACAGCTGCCCGTCGCTTTCCCGCACCCTGATGAACGAGTCGTTAAATTGTTTCATCATCCTGAAATTGGTCTTGGAGGCATGAGACAGACTCAAGGACATGTCCTTGGCGAGGTTCCCTATCACAGTGCCCGGCGCGTCCTCCTCTCTGGTCTGGTACCTGACTGTGTTCCCCTCGCTGAGAGCCCAGCGGGTAAATAAAAGGTGATGGAGGGAAACAATCACAAGCCAGCGGTGCCAATAAGTTCTAAACGCTCTTCGTATCATCTTGGTGCTTTTTATCTGTCCCTCAGTGAGCAGCCTCGTGCGCTGAGAGCGGTTCACATCTGGAGCCAGCTCCGCGCGCAGCTTTAACAACAGGGAAGTGAAAGTTAGTCCTTTTTTTTACGCGCAGCCAGCCAGATAGATCCGCTCGTCGCCTCGCCTTCAACACAGCTCCAAACTCTGCAGAGGAGGGGGTTTATACAGCTCCTCATGCTAATGAGACCAAGTGTGACCAATCCCTCGCTTTAGAATTAAAAATACACCAGAGCTCCAAGGAAAGCCTCTTTTCCTTCCCTCCTTCCTTCCTTCCTTCCTTCCTTCCTTCCTTCCTTCCTTCCTTCC